TAATTTGGTTCATTATCCATTGATTTTACCAAATACTGGCAAATAAAACAAATATTCCATTCTACTTCAACAATCTGATTACCCTTTCTGGCATTGATTCAAAAACACGCTATCGGTATCACTGTATAAAATGAATAGAAATAAAATAAATTTTAAATCTCGCAAATTGAAAAAAAAAACATCCAAGCGATCTAAAACACTAATCTTTTATATGACTGGCGCTATGCTTTTCCTGAATTTCAACCTAGTCGACCTAAATGATGAAAGGGCTTGGAGACCTTGAAAATCGTTCACATACCCTACGTCCCTGGGGACCAAAAACCGCCGGATTGGATCACTTCATCTCAGTCGGATATTCGCGGCTCCGACTATAGAAAACGATTTTCTAGTTCACGTAAGATTTCACCGCAGCAGCGATCAACCTCGGCCTCGGCCATATATACGCATTAGAGCCGCCCTTTTGTCATTAATAACTCCACCAATGGCAGGAATCTCGGTCGAACGCCACCGGCAACGCTCAAGATTTACTGTGATGAAGTTAAAACAGTTTATTACCTTTCCAGCAGATAATAGAGAGGACAATGACTTTGTACCAGCTATTTATATAACCAGTCAACTTATTTTTATTCAAAAATGTAATTTTGTGAGACGAGCATAGTTTATGTATGAGAAAATGCTATTTTATTGGTAGTTTCAAAAAACAGTAATCATTTTGAAAAAGTAGTTACATACATACATATGTAGTTTGACCACTCACTTCTGTGTACATTCAGATGTATGATTAATTTTTTATTATTTACTCTTAATATACTTAGGTATATTTTTACATATTTATAATCGTTATTGTATTTTTTTAATTTTCAAGTGGCATAATAGCTTCAAGTTAAACTCCACCATTTAATACAAAGACGTTTATTATGGACTGGACAACAAATTTTAGTTTTTTAATTGTATCTTGTGGGAAAAGTGCACTTCTTTGTTCATTTTGGGGCGCTGAGTACAAAAATGACAATGAAATAAACAAATTAGTTGCGGTTTAGAAAAAAAACTTTTTATTTTTAAGGATATATTAAAAAGAGTAACAAGATTCATATACTTATGCGCTGTCTTTTTGCTGTACATTTATGGATCGTTTCTGGAGCATCTCTACCAAGAGTCCAACAGTAGTCTGCAAGCATGGAAGGATTCCACTTTCCCTGGTACCTTTTTTCTATTGTTGAAATATCCTGATGAAAACGTTCGCCGTGCTCATCACTTACGGCTCCGTAATTGTCAGGAAAAAAGTCCAGGTGTGAGTGTAGGAAATGTATCTTAAGAGACATATTACAGCGCATCTTTTGATACGATGACAGCATATTTTTGACAAGGGTTTTATAGTTGTCAGCTTTTCTATTTCCCAAGAAATTAGTGACCACCAGACGGAAATCATTCCAAGCAGTTTTTTCAATACCTGCTAAAGTGTTTTCAAACTGTGTATCTTTCAAAATATTTCGAATCTGTGGCCCAACAAAAATACCTTCTTTAACCTTTGCATCACTTAGTCTTGGAAATTTCTGACGCAGGTATTGAAAAGCTGACCCATCTCTATCTAATGCCTTGACAAAGTTTTTCATTAGGCCCAACGTGATATGCAGTGGTGGTAATAAAATTTTTTTCGAATCTACTAATGGCATATACTGTACATTTTTTTGACCTGGCTCTAGGAATTGACGAACAGGCCAGTTTTGTCTGGTGTAATGAAGTGCCTTTGCATGACTGTCCCATTCACATAAAAAACAGCAAAACTTTGTGTAGCCTAGCTGCAGCCCAAGTAAAAGTGCAACAACTTTCAAATCGCCACAAATATGCCATTGGTGCTCATCGTATTTTATGCATGTCAATAGGTACTTCATATTGTCATATGATTCTTTCATGTGAACTGCATACCCTACAGGAAGAGATGGTAAAATATTTCCAATATGCAATAACACTGCCTTTAGACTCAATGTTGAACTGTCTATAAACAATCTCCATTCTTCTGGGTTATAGTTTATATTTAAAGCCGACAGTAAGCCGTTAATGTTACTGCAGAAAACCAAGTTATGCTCCATATTGAAAAATGGTTCTAACTCTTTGTGGCGTTTACGAAAAACACATACCGAAACATCGTCTTCTAACAAGTTCCACTGCTGCAGTCTTGATCCAAGTAACTCTGCCTTACATTTTGGAAGTTCTAAATCTCTTACAAGATCATTTAATTCTGACTGTGTTATTTTGTGCGGTTGGTGGCATGACGTGCTCGGTATAAAATCAGGATCTCTTGACGTTGATGGCATATCTTCTTCCTGACGAATCACTCGATCGCCATGTTCTGATTCGTTTTCTGATTCGCAAGTGTAGGATTCTGGGGGTTTTGGAATAGGATTTTCGTCACTGTGAGGCACAGGTCTCATCGCAGATGGTATGCTTGGGTAGTTAATAACCGATTTTTTTTTCTTGGACATACCTGTGGCTTGTCCAACACAAGGTACCATGCAAAAGTAACAATCATTAATATGATTTGTAAGCTCTCTCCAAACCATTGGGACAGCAAAGCGCATAGACCATTTTTTGCCATTTAACCAGCTCCTCAGACTTGAAGCACATGTATTACAGCAGATGTGGGGTGCCCACTGTTTGTCTTGATCACCTAGTTTACAACCGAAATAAAGCTGATATGCCTTTGTTATTAGTGGAGTAATAGACCGTCTCTGAGACGCAAAAGTCACATCACCACACACGTAACAAAACTGATCTGGATTGTTTACACACTTTCGAGACATCTTGCATGAACGCTGTCAGCCAACTGAGGAAAAAATGGCTAATATAAAACAATATAATGTACACGTATGTATAACGTAACACAATCATGCCGATTACATCATCTTTCGTTGCCGAATATAAAAATGTAGCACGTGCATTCTTGTGAATTACAGTATATTAACACTGTCACAGCAGGCACACATATAATTACCGTATCTCTAAAACTTGAACTAATATTGAAAAAATAAGTTTCATTCCGGTTTTAGCACATTAAAAATAGTAATATTTTGTTGATTATTTAGGATAGTTTTTGGCTGTTGATCAGTGATTATTAGCTTTATTATTGCTATTATTATTATTTCAGAAGGAATCTTGAATTAACAGGTACAAACAGGAATTACTGATTAAAGTGGCGTGACAACATGCTGCATAAATTATCAAGCGCATAATTATGTTTCTGAGTAAATGGGATCATGCAGCTTAATGGGCCGTATTCATAAAACAAAGGATATCCTTGTACTTGCAAATTTTGAAGCAAATCCTCCAGATGGTATTTATAATTATTTGAAGTAACTGCTTTTGCTTTTTGCGTATAAACATATCCCTCAAAGCAGTGACATAAGTAAAAGGATATTCATAATCTTATACCGGGTGCGGCAGAGAGGATGGACGGTTTTAAAAAAATCATAAAATAGTTAATTTTTACTCGAAAACAACTTTATTGATGGAATCAGGTTCACAAGGAAATAGCATTTGTGACAGTCAAGTGTGGAAAATCACATCAGGCATGTGGAGGCCGAAATCGTTGATGCAGTGCTGGAGGCGTTCTTGGAAGTTCGCGTAGACTCTCTCCAACATCGATCTCTCAACTTGGGCGACTTCCACGCGAATTTCGCACTTCAATTCGTCCAGAGTTCGGGGCTTGTTCGCGTATACTCTAGCCTTGAGGTGTCCCCATAAGAAAAAATCGCATAAGGATAAATCTGGGGACCGAGGAGGCCAATGAACATGGCCAAACCTGGAAATAAGGCGACCAGGGAAGAGAGGGCGAATAACATCCATGGATGCTCGGGCTGTGTGGGCGGTTGCCCCATCCTGCTGGAACTACACACGTCGGATTGGAACACGTCGCCGTCGTAATTCAGGGAGAAAGAAGTTGGTGATCATGTCGACGTAGCGCTCTGAGTTCACGGTAACATCACGACCATTACCGTCTTCGAAGAAGTAAGGGCCAATGATGCAAGTTTGCGATACAGCGCACCAAACCGTTACTTTCGGGATGTGCAGCGGTTTTTCGTGTAACTGTTGCGGATTTTCATTAGCCCAATAACGACAATTCTGCTGGTTAACCATGCTGTTTAGGTGAAAGTGGGCTTCGTCACTCATAAACAAAATGAGGTTCTCATTTTGATCGATCAGTGCTTCCATCTCACGTGCGAAGTTGATTCGTTGTGCATAATCTCCGGGCTGTAACTGTTGCACAATGGCCAATTTGTAGGGGTGAAAGTGGAGATCCGTATGCAAAATTCGCCTTACCGAACGATCACTAAGGCGAAGTGCAACAGCATGAAAGATCTGTCGAACGCGTGCAACATTTTCAGGAGTTCGAACTGTTCGCGGCGCTCCTCTTGGTCTTCTGTTGATCAGTTCACCACGCCTGTGAAGTGATTCAACCCAAAGAAGGATGGTGTTTCGAGAGGGAACAGCTGTATTCCGATGAATGTTGAAGTGGCGACGAAACTCACGCTGTACGACGATGACTGACTCATTATTTCGGTCGAAACAATCATAGTCCACCGTCCAAGGCTCCATAACGATAACTGGTAAAATAATGCTAGGATCTCACGAGTCAAACGGCACCCTCCGCTCCTCTCTCGTAGACGGAGGCGGAGAGTACTACCCATCCCAAAAACGTCCGTCCTCTCTGCCGCACCCTGCATAATTATACTTGGCATAGGAAGCATATCCTCTAAAAATTCTGGGTGTGGTCAGTAGCAGACTCAACTCCGTAACGAAAGGTGGTCAAATGATGATGATGGAAATTGCGGATGTTAGGGATGTTAAAACGTACGAACTTCGTTTACCTTCACTTGGTCATGACTTCAAAAAATTATATCGGTTCGACGAAGCAAATGTACAATGGCTTGCGGACAGATTTTTAGTTGAGAATAAGGAAACTCGAGGAGGAGCACTTTCATGTATTCATAAAATGAAGATATGTCTACGCTATCTCGGTGAGACTGGATATCAACAATTTATTGGTCAGGAACTTGGTGTTAGTCAAGCAACGGTATCTCGGACTGTGGATAGAGTTGTGAACAGCATAGTTGCACAGTCGAACGAATAGATCAAGTTTCCAACTACCAACCATGAACAGCAATTGGTGTAATTGATTGTACACATATAGCAATTCTGAAACCAAATCGCCATGGAGATGAGTATATCAACCGAAAAGAGAGACCTACTTTAAATGTGCAAGCCACTTGTGATGCCAGAGAGATGTTGAGTGTGATGTCAGTTGGCCTGGATCAGTGCATAATGTCAGAATATGGAGAAATTCACAGACTAGATCACAACTAATAAATAAAGCAAATGCTGTACTACTTGGCGATGACGGTTATGGTATTGAGCCATGCCTTATGACTCCCTTCAGAAATCCTACTACAGGTGCAGAAATTAATTATAATAAGCTTTTAAAACAAGAAAGAGTTATAATTGAACGCTGCCTCGGCCAACTGAAACACCGGTTTACTATCCTACAGTATGTTTGCCGCGTAAAGTTGTAAAATGTGCCGAAAATAATTATTGCTTGTATTGTACTCCATAATGTTGCGAAGAGCTTGGGCGATCCTGACTTTGAGTTAATTGAACAAGACCCAGATGAAGATGAAGGAAATCATGAGAATGACGAACGTCCTCTCAGCCAACTAGGTCAACAAATAAGGAGAAACTTGAATAGTATAATAAATAGTTTTACTGATTAAAGTGTATTGATATGTTGTAATACATTTTATTTTCGTGAACATCATAAGTTACAGGTGGCTTCTACCGCTGCATCATTTCTAATTTCATTTCATAACACCTTTGTTGTAAAATACTTGTTTGGTACTGCTGTAATATCACTAGACGTTGCAGTTCTTTTGTAGTTAATCCTTTGGCTTCCTCAGTTTCGTATTTCTCTGTTGCTAATTTTCTTTTTGGTGGCAATGTCTTCTGAATTGCTGGCGCAGTAATACCTACTGTTTGCTCACTGCGCTCGATATATAGTTCACTTCCTTCTTCTTGAACACTATCAACCTGAATGGTACCTCTAATTTTCCTAATTGTATTATTACAGTCACCTTCCATAGCTTTCAGCAACTTTCTTTTCCACTCTAACAATTAATTGCTTTATTACCAGTTTTTTTTAGATCTGTTTTTTTCTTCAATCTTGATTTCATGTTGTAGATTTTTTTAATGAGCCTTTAGTATCTAATGGTTTACCGAATGTTGATTCGTATTTGTTCAATATCTTCTTCAAGCCATCGTCCTTTCTCATTTTTATTTTTGGAACTTGTGACTTTTGCAAAATAATGGGAGCAATGGCAATTTCATCTGCGATGAACTGCAGGTCATTATTTTCTGTTTTCTCATCACTTGAGGATGACATGCTTATTAATTTGATAAAAAACTGTATCCAGTAAAAATATGGAATGGTCTGTGCAAGCTCTGGAGTACAACTGTCAGTGATGCTGAGTGAAGGAACTTCCACGTTAACTACAAGCTGGAACAAGTCAGGACATGTCGCTCAAGATACAAATACCAGTCAACCTTTTACTTCTTCTTGGAGGATATCCTCGCGAGTATAAGGTAATCATTATGAATATGAAAACATGGATATACTTATACTTCTACCTTTTACTCCGAAGCAAGACCTTATACTTTTACCTTATGCTTCCGAGGATATGCTTCTCTTTTATGAATACGGCTCATATTGAGTCTGTTTGTTCCACGATAGTCCCTTTGTCGTGCATTTTCAAAGATGCGTTGAGCTTTTAGTGTCCGCAAGTGATCTTGTGCTTAGATTGCATGTACAGGGTGATTCACAAGTCGTGACCAAAAATTAAACATTTTAAGGTGGGGTCTTCTATGTAATACTTTTTCCTCGAGGGATTCAAATAAGGTGTGTCAGGACGAGAACTTTTCGCCATGTCCTCTTGCGTAAATCTAGCTGCGTTTAACATGCGATGATACTTATGAATCATCCACCAAGGATAGATGGTCAGGCACCAGCGGTGGCCGCAGTAGTAGACTCTTCGGTCTCCAGATCAGTCGCCGTGCGCTCAGCGGGTTCGAGTCCCGTTCCAGGAGAAATTTTTCTCTTGGCTATGGATTTTGTGATTGTCCGTAGGTAGTAGACAGTCTCTGACTGTCGAACGCGGAGGTACCACCCGGCGGATCTCGTAGGTGGAGCCAGAATGTGTGCATGTTGCATGCACACGTGTTCCCTCGCCAGAGTCCCTGTGGCGTTCCCCCTTTCCCCTGTATTCCCCTATAGCCCCACGGTACCCAATGGGTGTTTAGGCCTTAGGCCTTCGTGGTAGTTGGAGTATGAAAAAAAAAATTAAGCTACAGCTCATAATTTTCAGGAATTGGATTGAACTGGTTTTGAAGTGGAACGCTTCACACAATTATCCATCCGACTATTCCTTAACAGCATCTTGGACCGAGCACAGACACTTTCCTTGCATTTTTGCTCGACTGGCAATTTCCTTTTTCCGTAGCAGCGGCGGTTAAGGGCCATTCGCCGTGGTCATTTCCATTCCCATATAATACAGTGTAATTATGCCGTTAATCCTTTGTCGGACTATTCAGGACTCTTTTAGCGTTTACGGACATGCCGTCCTAATCGTCTCAAAGGTGCTCGTTTCGACCCGTGCAATAGATGTTAACGTTCCGCTTTTATTTTTCCTTGATTATCACGGCAAGCTGATTGATTTTTACGTTAAAGGCGCGTTACGCAATGCACCTAGCGAATTTATAAAGATGAACAAATTTTATGATATTAACATTAAAATGCGAGACTAGCATACAAGAGAAAGCACTTGAGAAGATTTGAAATACTTTCAAACACTCAAAGATAAATTTCAGAAGAGACCTACACTGGACAGAATGTTCGCTTCGACGTCACAAAGAAATGATGATGGTTTGCGGGCGTCTTACAATATCTCGTTACTTATAGCAAAATCCGGAAAACCGCATACTATCGGAGAGAAGTTAATTTTGCCAGCCGTTAAAGAGGTTTTAAAAACTGTTTTACACAAACCTGCATCTGATATCATTAAAAGAATTCCATTAAGCAACAATACTGTTGAAAGACGTATTGATGAAATGAGTTCTGATATTGAAAGCGTCTTATGTAATTATTTGCAAACGACCCATTTCTCTATACAACTGGACGAGTCAACTTTACCTGATAATGCAGCATTATTATTGGCATATGTTCGTTTTATTATGAATCAAGAAATCTACGAAGAACTGATAACTGATAACCGACACTAAAGGTGAATCAATATTTCATGTTTTGAAGGATTACTTCATTGAAAAAGCAATTCAAATATAATATCAGTAGCTACAGATGAGCACCTGCCATGGTTGGACGTTATCGTGGATTTATAAGCTATTTAAAACAAAATGTGTCAGAGGTGTTAACAATAAATTGCGTCATCTATCGACAACATTTAGTTGCTAAAAATTTGAGTTTTAGATTGCATGAATCACTTCATTGATGCAGTAAACCGAATCCGAAGTAACGCGTTGAATACGCAGTTATTTGCGCAGTTGTGTGAAGAAAATGACGAACTCTTTCATCAATTACTCCTTCACACTGAAGTACGCTGGCTGTCGAAAGGCTTATGTTTGACAAGATTTTTTGCACTTTTTGAGACTATTTTTGAATTTCTGGATACTAAAGATAAAATTTTACAAGAAAATTTAATGAAGAGGATAACAGACATCGCCTATTTAACAGATTTATTTACAAAATTTAATATGGTTAATTTGCAATTACAAGGCGACAGTTTGATTAAAACGAAGTCCATCTTATCAGCGTTTCTTGCCAGAGTTAAACTAATGAAGCAAAATATTGGACGGGGCGAATTTTCTCAGTTTCCCAATTTGTCACAGACAAGCTGCCAGGAAGACGACGTTTCAACTTACGTTCAACATTTAAATGCCCTCTATTCAGATTTTGAATCTAGGTTTGAGGATATTTTGACTATGGTGATACCACCGTGGATAATTAATCCATATGGTGACATAGAAGAAACGAATGTCATAATACAAGAGGAACTGACTGAACTAAGCACAAACAAAGAACTTAAGGTTCAGTTTGAAAACGGATATCAGCAATTCTGGCTGCAAAACAACATACCCGTTACATATCCCGTATTATGGAATATAGCGAGGAAATTTTTAATTTCCTTTCCATCGTCATACCTAGTGGAAAGGGGGTTCAGCGCTGTTACCAATCTCCCAGCGAAAAAAAGAAACAGACTGGACATCATTAGCCGAGGAGATTTAAGATTAACCCTTACAAAATTGACGCCAAATGTTGTTAATTTATTATTAAAGCATCAGGTTCATCCTTCTCACTAAAAATATTGACTTATTGCTTATGTTACTTTATTTATAGTTTATTTTATGTTTATTGGTGTCTGACCAATGGGAATAAGTGCCCGCATTGATTTTTTTAAACGACCCCCCTTTATAGATTTTTTTTTAATAATTATTCTGAAAATTCAAGGATAGGTATACACTAAAATTCGTTAATTTTTTGCCTATTTTTAGATAACTTAATCAAACTAACAGTGAAATTATTGTAGAACATACGTTTATGTTATAATTATTGTACTATTTTATAATTTTTCACTTTTTTTATTTTATCCCTCTTATTTTTTTTCAATGCGGGCACTTATTCCCAATGCGGGCACTTATTGGTCAGACACCTGTTTATTTAATGTTACGTATATTTTACATAACAGATACAAAATTTTATTTAGAGTAGTTTTAATTTAAATTCAATTAATAAATGTATAAATTAACATGTGTTTTTACTTTAAGTTTTTAACACTAAACTTCACTATAGTTAGCAATTTACAGGAAATCATTATCAGGTAAGTAGGGGGTCTACCCAACACGGAAAAACATGGCAAGGGGTCTACGACACAAAAAAGTTTGGGGAACTCTGCTGTAGAGGAATTAAGAGAACGAATAGTTGCAGCTTGTGATAGAATAAAAAACACTCCAGGGATATTTCAACGAGGGCGTAATTCCATGAGAAGGAAGGCGGAAGCATGCATACTAAATGAAGGGGGCCATTTTCAACAATTTTTGTAATCATTTCGTTGGTTTATATCTGAAGCGGTTCTGAAAATACTAATTAATTTCCAATTTTTTCCTAAAACTTCAACACCCCGAGTTTTTGTAAGTAAACATTTTTGGACCATAGTTCATAAAGCAAACTAA